AGTTTGTTTTTCAGGCCGTGAAAGAGCAAGCAGTTAAAGGCAAGAAATTTAAGAAGCCAGTAAGGATTTACATATCATCATGGTTTCCCACAGGATTTTAGAATAACACTCATGGACATGTACCTTCTTATCAGGGATTGTCATAATTATATCTGAATAATAAGTCTATTTAACTGTTTTTCTTATCATATTTAGAAGAAAAGTGCCAAAGAAGTTAATTGTAGTACAGCCTTTAAAGAAGGCTAGCAAGAAACAAGCAACCAAAGCAAATGATGATACCTCGAGCAGTAGCTCTGATTATAAAGACATGGAGATTGTTAAGATTGGAAAGAAAGCACCACCAGCAAAGGTAAAGTTTATTAAATTGAAATGTAGAGCTTCTTCATCAAGATGTGTTGACATTTTTGGTTTAACTCTAGTGCCTTGCATGCCTCAGAAGGTCAATCAATGGTTTTGCTTAAAATTGACAGTACATGTATGCTGGCCTACTGTCGTTTTGTAAATCTGCTTTTTTTCTTTACTGCTTTTATTTAATCTTGTTATTGCCTAATTATCATGTATACAAAATTTAGACATAATCACATTTTTAACTTTGCATGTCTAAACCACTTGTAAAAAACATTGTGTTACATTACTTTATTAATTCTGTCTTAAGCAGAAGAAGGATGACAGCAGTTGTGGCAGTGATGAAACTGATAGTGTAGATACAACTCCTCCTGAACTACATGTAGTTGCTAAACCTACTAATCATGCTAAAGACAGTGATTCATCTGATGCCTCTTCTGATGATGAAAGTGTAAGTGGTTTAAAATTACATTGTAAATAATTCAAAGTTGCTCTAATGCTAATGCCACTGTTCAACTCGAAAGCAACGTTGATAATGTTGTCAACTCTGTTGCTCAACTGATTTTGGCACGTTAGATGAAGTAACCATAAACTTGCTTTCAGCAAAGTTGAATGGTTGATGATGGGCTCTTTTAGTATTATGTGTATTTTTAGGAAGAGACAAAGGAACCAGCTAAAGCCAGGATTAAAAGGAAAAAAGAGGAATCAGAGAGTGACAGTGATGATGGCAGTGGTGATGAGAGTGAAACTCATAATGTGCCACAGGCCAAGAAAATGAAAAAAGGTATTTAGTATTGTTATTATTATCATCATCATTACTGTAATTGTGACCTTTAGGCGAAAGCCAAAAAACCCAAAGGTTTTCACCAATGTCGATGTACATGTATCTATATATATTTGTATGTCCACACTTGCTATTTTCCTTTACATGTTATAATGGGAGAAGTAACAATTATAATGGACCTTAGCAACACCCAGCCCTGTCCCCCCTCTCCCATAAAATACCGGTTATGGCCACAAAAAACAACGTTGTAGAACAGTTTTCCTTCCAAAATCAGCTTTGTATTTTGTATTGTGCTCCTCTTTTCCTTTAATTTAACTGATTTTTTTTCTTTTTATAGAGCATTCAGCAATTGTTGGTAATCTTTCACTTGGCTGTGATGAAAACTCCTTGTATTCATTTAATGATGATTCAGGATTTGAATCTAGTGCTTTTGGAACCATAACACGTCATGGTCAATCCAAAGGGTTCGTTATACATGTAGTTAAATCCAAATTTTTAATGAATGTCCCTGGTGCACTAGGTGCTGTCTGTTAAATGGATATTCATACACTAATCACTACCAAGTGTTAAAACAAATGCACTGTGCATGTATTTTCTGTTGTAATTCTGGAAATGTTTTTTCAAAATACATGTACTTGTACAGTATATTTATTTTTGAATTTAAAAAGCCTTTATAGATTTTTTTGCATGGACTGCCCAAAAAATTTTGATTGCTGCACAAAAATTATGTTTTGATAAAAATTAATTATAAAATTATACTGCTCGGAATGTGTGCATGCTAGAGGCGGTTGGAATTCAAATCTTCTATCCATTGGTAGGATTAATCGATTCTTGCATTAATCGATATACACATGTACATGTAATTGGGACTACCGTATAGCTAGAAAATTTGGAGTGTTAAAGTTTGGCAAATTGACTCTTTAAGAGGGTTGGAGATTAAAATTTTGGTGAAATTTGAACTTCGTGCATGTTTTTATGAAACCCTGTCAAATTAGAGACTAAAATTTTGGCGGATATACCTCAATTCACAAAATTTACTGAAGTTATACTCAACCAAATTTTCTAGCTATACAGTATTCTATGCTTTGAATGATTAAATTAGACTATTGAACTGCATTGTTTTTATAATTGCACTTCCCGATCTATGGGTATCATTCATGTGCATGTACCGTATTTTACCCGTATAAACGCCTGGTCCAAATAAACGCCGGTCATTAATATATTCTAGCTATAGATATGCACATTTCTACCAAAAATAATACCCTACTGCTTAGATAGCTCCAAAGTTCTTATTAGTTGGAGCCTGGTCTGACTTGCTCAGAGTTGGGGGTTCTGTCCGGCTTGAAGTATCTTTTTTAATTATTTTTTCAATGAAATTTATTTGCTGCTTAGAAATAAACGCCCGGGGTTTAATTGGTAGAATACGGCATGTGCTTTTCTACCATATACATATACATGTAGGTTTGGACATGCTGAATTCTCAAACAAGTTAGTGCCTCTAAATGTAATCAAGACACTGTCAAAGACTGGCCTTTGGGGAAGAAATTTGATACTGGATCTGGCAAGCTGTTTTAATAGCAGCAGTACTACACCACGAGGTACATGTACATGTTTGTTCATGGCACATTAGATTTGTATTATTATTGCCATTTTTACTATTAAAGTCCATACGTCTGTTCACTTGAGCTCTCTTTTTCTTGCTATAACTGTACCTATATACTGTACATGTACATGTAGTTCTATTGTAAAGATACACATGCCAATGCATTCCTCTTTTTTGGATGGAGTTTGTGATCACTTCTTGTGCTTAAGTGAATCTTGAATTAATTTTAAGCCATGCTTTGACACACTTCACTTCATAATTTAGCATTGCATGCAATTTAAATTTTATAACTGAAAATTTAATGTTTGCTGTTCTTCATTAAAATGCACAGTTTAATTTGCAAAAAAAGCATTAGTAGTTGATGTATCAACAGCTCACACCTACACCAGCAAAGTTAATGTCACATACGTTGAAGTTTGTTTTGATTTGCTCTATTAGTACAAAATCAAAAATTATACATGTTCCAGCTTTATGGTGTACATTTGTCACCACTATACTGTATAGCGGGAAATTTTAGAGGAAGCAAATTGCTAAATATTAATAATTGGGGTATTGAATTTGTGGCCACGTGCCATAGAGCATGTGTATAATGGCTCAAAATGGCAGATTTTAATTTTGGCGAATGGCTATCTAAACGCCAAATTCGCCAAATTTAGTCCCCTTCATAATTTCCTGCTACAGTACAGTGTGAAAAAAAGCTAAGTAGCTACTCTACTTTTGTGTAGGTAGTTTGCTGCTCCTTCGTTGCGCATGCGCAAACTTACCAGTAGTGGTAACACATGTGGTCAGCAGAAGGACAGTAGTTCGACGGTGACTTGAACAAAGAGCCTCCTAAACGGCCTTCTAAAGGTAGAGGGCGGCAGTAGAGACGAACTTCGAGAGCAAAGACAGCCAAGAGAAGCATCCTCAAGTCCTTTGAGAGCCTCTAGAGCGCGTGAAAGCTTGATACTACAGAACATGTGACTGGGCAGTACCGCAATACTACCTGGGCCTAGCGCAGCGAAGAGTAGCGAAATAAGATAACTACTTACGCACTACCTGCATACTACTTATGCTACTTAGCTTTTTTTCGCCTTGTACTGTATATGGTATACTATATCCCAACTGATATTCATAGAGGCACAGCTGATATTTTACAGCTGCCTGTATTTCACACTTAAATAGAAGAGCTGCTGGAGTCATCTAGTCTTCATTAAGGCCATCATTTTCAGAAGAACTTGCTCTGTTAAGTTTTTACAAGAAGAATTATCGGTTTGGATGGTTATCAGTTTTGTGGTTAGCTTTGGTATGCCATCGGATTTATAGGGAAAACCCGGTTCTCAGGGTTCCCAAGGGCTGAGAAACCCAAGATCTGAGATTATGTGATTGCATTGGGTGACTAAGAACCTGTTTTTATAGAAAGTTATTCCAGCCTTTATTGGGTCACACTCAGTTGGGACATGGTATAGTGACTTTTTCAGCTTGTTGTCATGAAAGTAGCTGTTAATTGTCACTTGGGTGTTTGTTTATAATAGGTTTTCCGCAATGAATATAATTATGAGTCCAATCTTGTTATAATGAATTATTATTTTTTTAAAATTACATCTATACTAAATGCAAGTAATTCAATTAGTCAGGTGTCATAAAAAACCGCATGTAAAATATGAAAGTTATTTAAATTGTAAGTTGACAAAGTCAGTGTGATTGTGGTATGATTGGTTTTTGAAGCAATATGCATACTTAAACATCAACACAAATGCATTTCCTCAAGCTGTCCATTCACTTATTATGCACATGAAAATGGAAGTTGAAATAGAGGATGATTCTAAGCCAGTTTTGTAATCTCTTTAGTCTTTATTTTCTTGCTGATTATATTTGTATACTGCATAATGTTGATGAATTATGGTGGTCATGTGTTAACCCGTCAATAATTATTTCAGTCTTTTGCCTAATTTTGTTAAAGGGCAACCGACACGAAAAATTGGGTTGTGATTAAAAATCAAAAATATTTTTATTATGGTGTAGAATGGCTTGCAAAAATACTTTTGGTGCAAAATAATTGCTCTTTCCTGGAGAAAAACTGCTTTTAAAATGCATAATTTACTTCCTCATTTCTGCATCCTGTATTTAGCAAATGTGGGTGTGGTCACGTGTGACATCACAAGAGGGAAGATGTCTGTTTGCTCCATTGGTTTATACACAACTTCATGTTAGATTTCTGGAGTTTTGAATATTTTAATGCAGAAAAAATGTACTCCCTATTGTTTAGCAGGTAAAGAAGGCATGATTTAAGGGCAAAAGTACTAATTATAAGCAAGTTCAGAATTTCATGGTTTTCCTCTATTTTGAAAATAAATTAGCTGAATTCATTCTCCTTTGCATCCTTTATAACACTGCAGCTTTCATTTCTGCATTAAAATATTCAAAACTCCAGAAATCTAACATGAAGTTGTGTATAAACCAATGGAGCAAACAGACATCTTCCCTCTTGTGATGTCACACGTGACCACACCCACATTTGCTAAATACAGGATGCAGAAATGAGGAAGTAAATTATGCATTTTAAAAGCAGTTTTTCTCCAGGAAAGAGCAATTATTTTGCACCAAAAGTATTTTTGCAAGCCATTCTACACCATAATGAAAATATTTTTGATTTTTAATCAGAACCCAATTTTTCGTGTCGGTTGCCCTTTAAAAGTTAATTGCAGTGAATGGGATTGTTAATGATTGTGGTTCCCCAAGTGTTGTAAAAAATGTTTGAATTATTAGACATTAATATTTCCACCATTGCAAAATGGGTGAAGATAAGGGTTGTCAAACTATTTGGGTTTACTGTACTATTTCTATTGTTAGGTGGATTTGGTGGTATAGGAGGCCATGGCATGTCTGAAGCTATTAAACCAGTAAGCGATGTGATATGTGTTAAAAGAGACTTGTCTGTTTACAATAGGAGCTACTGAGCAACCTCCGGGCCATTAATGAAAAGATACGGTCTCTCGATGAACGAATTGAGGTTGTCAATCACAAGATAAACGGTTGTCAGGATCAGAGAAAAAATTGGAAGTCACTGTATACTGAAACAAATATGCCCGACACAGCATCATTGGCACTTCGTATTGTTTGGGAACTTGATAATCAAATTGGAGCTTTATTAAAGAGTCATGAATCTTTGATGATGAAATTGGAATTGGAAAAGAGTGCTCTTCAATCATTGCAAAAGGGGTTTGTTTTCAGAGTCTCTAGTGATAACAACAAGAAAAAGATGTGAGTTTCATATTTGTTTATTTTATTAATATTAGATGGGAAGAATGGAAAATGGTCAGTGAATATGATAAATTGCACAATATTACATAGTGTTTGTTATACCGTACAAGATGATTTATTGGCGGGACTAATGTTTGGCAAATTAGCCTTTGGAAAGAAATTGGCAGATTTTACATTGGCATTTTTGTGCCATGTGCCATTGAGAATGCTCAGTTTAAAACAAAATGATGTATTTTATAGTGGTGATTTCTTCATAGAATCGCCAATATTAATTCCTCACCAATAAATCATCTTGTACGGTAATACTTATAATTATGTCTTGATTCTAAGCAATCGAGCTGGTCCCAGAGCGCTGAAACGAAATTGGTGATAAGAATTAATAGGTTTTCTGAGCAAGCCTTTGCCCATTAGCTAAAATTTTTGCTGCAACTTTGAAACTATAGTCAAGTATTACATGTATTTGAAACTGTGATGATACTCAATTTAGGCTGCTTCTTGACATAGCATCTTTCTTGTTTGTCCTCAGTCAAGTGTACATGCCACTATTTTGTTAAAAGTGTATTAGCAACAATATCAGGTGTTTCCAATCCATTCTTCCTGTCTAGTAACAGTGCTTGAATTAAGCGTACACAGTAATACACGAAATATACTTTGTTGCAGCTCCATGTAACTATCTAGTGTACCAGAGAAGCTTGTTGCTCATTTTGCAATAAAACCAAACCTGCCACATTATGCCAAATGTACTGATTTCAGGATGTCTGAGTGACACAATGGTATACATTGTGCTTTACAATTTGAGCAAATATGGTTATGTGTATGGAACTGAATATTACTGGATTGGCTCCATATTTTGCAATATATTTGCTGTTCTTTATTGTAGGACATTCTGTTTGATAGACATCTACAATCCAGTTTATCGTGAAGTATACCTTGATGCTTCCATTTCTGACTTTCCATTCAGAATTCCTCTGGATGCATTACCAGACATACTAAAACCGTGTTCTCAAATAGAACATAAGAAAGACCGTAATGTAGGTGGAAAATATGTTGGATTTAACGGGAAGTACATCTATGCCTTTGATACACCTCTTTGTGCCAGTAGTGCAACATTAGATCATTTTATTGATGTTGTGAATTGCCATGATGATCTTACAGTAGCCCTGACTACAGTAGATATTCCAACACCTTTCATTCCAGTGAAACAAGTATTTCCAGGATCTGTGATAGAAACTGCAGCTGAAGTTATTGATCAAGCACTGGAGAACATTGATACTATCAATTGTATTGAATCCATTCATGCCACTGTGAAACAAGCTTTTGATGACGTTTGGAGCAAACCTTTAAAATCAGTTACAATCAATAACAACCAGCAATTAGTGAATTGGTTAAAACCTCTGCTTTGTAATGACAGTTTTATCTTGTCTGAGAAACGAATCGTTTCGCAACATTTTACGTATTATCAAAACTCAAAAACGGGACGTTGCATATTGATGAAAAACTCACCAAATGGAGTAGTAATACAAAGTGTACAGGAGATGGATGAGGATGAGGAGCAACAAGTGGAATCGTCAGAGGACCGTACTCTCTCACAATTGTTAGCCGGCATGATGGCTACTGCTGGGGAGGTGGCTGGAAGATGCATTCAATATGGTACCTATTTCAAAGAAGTAACTGTATATGGAGTTTTCTGTTCTTTTGAATCAAATGAAGCTTCATTATGTAAACTGATTTTGAACTTTGAACTTGGAGAGTCAAAAATAATAAAGTATGTGGATGAAAATGATCAACCACAATTCAGTAGTATTGATAGAATGATTTTATATGCTGTGAATCTGTCATTTAATCATTGATTATTGTAACAACTAGACTAGTTCTCATATAATTTTTTTGCTGTGATTATTATTTCTGGTCAAGTTGATCAATACACATATGCAATGTTCAAGTGCAATTGACTAATAAAAGAATACATTTCAGAGAAAGTAGAATTAGAAAAAGAATCAACTTGCAACCAATCACCCTTGTATAGAAAGGTAAATCCAATGCATACATTTTTCCCTTGTAAAAATCACTACATGACCACAGGTCCAGTAACGCTGTTAACTATATCCCCCTAATGTTAAGTATATGAGACTTAACCAATGTTTATCATTAACAAGCATCAATTGACGGAGTTCAAGGTTCAGAGAAAGAAGATGGATGACAATTGTAATAGCATGTGTACTCTGTTCCAATGTGCTTGCTCCAAAGGGATCAGGAGATGCCAATTGTTTTTGTATTTCCTTGGAAGAAGTCCATCGATTGCTGTAAATTGAATTGAAAGGGTGTTACTTATACTAATAATATTGGAAGGACCATTTTGAAACTCTGGGATCAATGAGAAGTGATGATTAACTGCAATTGAATTACTTTCACACATATACATGCAGGTACTCAAGTTCACATTCAACCCATAGATTATTGACATATTCACTGACGCATCAATAAAAAGCCATGCCCCAGTTTTTTCCTACTTCATTTAAGGACACAGTTGATGATTTTTTTCATCAAGTCTTGGTATTAGGCAAAATGATGTAACAACAAAGCATTGAAAGTGTATATAAGTACATATTTTGATAATATTGAAATTGAATAATGATTATTGAACAGTTGTTAATAAGTGTATGGTAAATTAAAATGCTTTAATAGATCTACTCAGTTGTCTCCTGTACTATTATTGTTGTCAATCTCATTAAGCACCTGCAAGTGTAAAATGAGGATTAATTGTTATTCATTTATTATATACAGTACCTGTGTTGCACTCTATCTTCAACTATATTGCTGCAGACAACCATTAGCTACTTTCAGAATTTTTCCTGCAACTTGTTTTGACAAAACTGGTTTATAGCATCAGTGAGATCAATAAACTTTTTAAAATCTCTCCTTTCATCTTCTGTAAAGGTCACCTAATTATAATGTTAATGAAAATTATACAGAATATTAAAATTCTAACCAAATCATGATTCACTCTTGTTTAGTGATAAGCCACTATTGCACAATAATAATAATAATTTGTCTTTGTGTAAAAATTCACTCTATAGGTGTATCAGTGTATGTGTGTGGTATACAGGACCACATGAAAATAGTTACTGGAACATACCAATAACATTATCAATTTTAATAATAAATATACAAAAAGAATATACATTAATCTTCATCAGTGCTACTATAGAAGTTTTGAAAACTATTGATCAGTGAATTGACCATATTTAGTCAAAAATAACATAACAGAGTCAGAGTAGAACAAACAATTGATGTGTATGTGTGTGTGTGTGTATGTGCATAGTCCATATAACTTAGTGCATGCATCATTACAACTTTATGAGAAGAGAATGATAAAAATTCAGTCATACTACATGTAGTCTATACTCCCACTAGTCTGTTGTGTGATTTACCATACAGTTACAGGATGATTGATGTCTCTCAATGGAGAGCAAGTATTGAACTGTGGAACTACTGTCAAGCTGCCTTCAGTAGACTAGCTAATGGCCACCACTCTCGCTCATTCAAAGCTACAGGAGACAGCAAGTCAGGCAGTACTACATCAGGAGAAAAGCTGCCATAAGCTCTATTTCTCATTGCTTTCCTTCTCCTTCTCTTTTTCTCTATCTCTTTATTAGGACACATCTTGATGATTCCTCCAACAGGTAAACAACAATTGTACTTGTATAGATCTATTTCCTGGTAATTTATCATTAGGTAACTGCTACCAAGCACAATGTACTACTGGTGTTACTGTTAGTGATACAAATTACCTCCAGTCAGTAGTCGTACCTGGAGGCAGCAGTTGTAACCTGATTTACAATGATCTCTATTTGATTGTTTGTCTAGCTATGCTCCTCCTCTTATCAGGAGATATTGAACTCAATCCTGGTCCTATGATTGATGATCGACCTGATATTTCATTTTTAACTCAATGGCTTGAACCGCTTATTGACTGGCAATCATTTGGCTACTGCTTACCAGGAATAACACAACACGATGTATCAGTTATTGAAGCTGAGAGTTCTAGTTTGAATGACCGAAAGAGAAAATTGTATTCAAAATGGCTCTCTGTTTCCCCTGAGGCAACTTGGAATGATGTCATTAGTGCATTAAAGATTAGAAGAGAAATCACTCTTGCACATAATATCAAAAAAATGATTGAAGGACATCCTTCAGTACCTATTGCTAGTAATGGAGCTACTGTGAGTAATACACAGCAAGAAATTAAGTTTAGCACAAAAAAAGATGAAGCAGAAGTGTCATATTCATTAACAGAACTCAACAAAACTTTTACTAGTTTAATGACAAAGGTACGAAGAGCGTTTGATAAGAAAGTAGCCTCAGACCCTGAGCTACTCATTGATTTGACAAGATGGATTGAAACTTACATGAACTGGACTGACAAGCTAACAAATGCATCATTAAATGAAACTTTCAATACTATTCATCCATATTATGATTTTATTGACTGCTGCTTAATAGTAGATTTGAGTGAAGAGTTTCTGAATGGTGTCACTTTTGGTGATGGAGAAAAGCTGAATATTGTAAGTGAACTACAAAATCATAAGAGAAATGCAGACACATTTCGATCTTCAAGTACTGTGGCTCATCTTCACAAGTCATTAATGGAAATATACCAGGAGCATGTTCAAGATATAACTAAAATGCCACATATTATTATACATCTTCAGAATCCATGGTATGCTAACAATCTAAACAGTTTAGTTCTTCTAATCAAGCATTTGTTACCAGTGGGACTTGTAGAATCATTACTAAAACGAATCACAATTCTTAAGGGGTCAGTGGTTATCAAATACACAGTGCTTGATTCTACTGCTGATAGTCTAATAGAATATACTGGAGGAAAGCTACAGTTTATGCGTCTCATTGGTATATTTAGTTTATACATTAATGATCATCGTGTCCTTCAAGAAGATGAAAATATGAACTTCACCTTTGAACTAGCTCTCCTTGAGGCAGTCACAGCTGGTAATAATGAAGCAGTAGAGTTTCTTCTTGAGCTAGAAACTGTTAATATTGATCATACTAATGAAAAAGGCAAGACAGCACTAATATTAGCTTGCGAAAGAGCACATGAAGACGTTGTACACAGTTTACTGTCTGCTGGAGCTAATGCTAATATTCAGGACAATAAAGGATGGACTGCACCAATGTTAGCTGGTGAAAGAGGACATGAGAACATTGTACACAGTTTACTGTGTGCTGGAGCTAATGTTAACATTCAAGACAATAAAGGACGGACTGCATTAATATTTGCTTGTGAGAAAGGACATGAGGACTTTGTACACAGTTTACTGTGTGCTGGAGCTAATGTTAACATTCAGGACAATAAAGGATGGACTGCACTAATGATAGCAAGTAAACATAATCACCATTTCAATCATTCACATGTTACTACAGGCTAATGCTAATCCTCACC